GAAGGCTTTGAAGTGCTTCTATCCGAAGAAGGGAGGATAGTAAAACCTGTCAGCACTGGAATTGTCTGTCTTTCCAAGCACACTATTTTAAGCTGCATAGAAATGTTTATAACACACCATAACAGAGGCTCAAACTAGAGAGAGAGACAGACAGACAGACACACACACACACACACACACACACACACAACTTAAAAAAAAAGTAAGAGGACCAAAAAAATTCCATCATGGCTAGACAAGGTAAAAGAGGCAGTCAGAGTAAAAAATCAAATCCTACTGAGGAAAACCGAAAGGACCATAAACTCTGACAAGTCAAGTATAAAAGTATAATTAGGCTAGCCAAGAGAGAATTTGAAGAGCAATTAGCAAAAAAACAAAAACTAACTCCAAATGTTTTCGTTTTAAGTACATCAGAAGCAGGAAGCCTGACAAACAACCAGTGGAGCCACTGGACAATCCAGGTGCTAAGGAAGCACTCAAGGAAGATGACGCCATTGCAGAGAAGTTAAATTAATTATTTGCATCGGTCTTTGCTACAGAGGATATGAGAGAGATTCCCACACCTTAGCCATTCCTTTAAAGTGACAAATCTGAGGAACTATTCCAGACTGAGGTATCAACAGAGGCGGTTATGGAACAAATTGATAAATTAAACAGTAATAAGTCAACAGGATCAGATGGTACTCATCCAAGAGTTCTGAAGAAACTCAAATATGAAACTGCAGAACTACTAACTATGGTATGTAACCTACCGCTTAAATCAACCTCTGTATCAGATGAATGGAGGATAACTAATGCAATGCCAATTTTAAAAAAAGCTCTAGAGGTAATCCAGGCAACCGTAAACCTAACTTCAGTACCATGCAAACTGGTTGAAACTATAGTAAAGAACACAATATGTTCGGGAAGAGTAAACATGGCTTTTCTAAAGGGAAATCATGCCCCACCAATCTATTAGAATTCTTGGAGGGAATTAAAAAACACGTGAACAAGGGTGATCCAGTGGATATGGTATACCTAGACTTTCAGAAACCCTTTGACAAGGTCCCATACCAAAGGCTCTGAAGTAAAGCAAGCAGTCATGGGATAAGAAGGAAGGTCCTCTCGTAGATCAGTAACAGGTTAAAAGATAGGAAACGGAAGGCAGGAATAAATTATCAGTTTTCACAGCGGAAAGGGGTAAATAGCAGGGTCCCCCAAGGATCTGTACCGGGAAACGTGTAGTTCAACATATTCATAAATTATCTTGGAAAAGGGATAAACAGCGAGGTGGCAAAGTCTGCAGACGATACAAAATTACTCAAGATAATTAAGTCCAAAGCAGACAGCAAAACATTAACTCACAAAAGGTATCTAACAAAACTGGCTGACTGGGCAACAAAATGGAAGAGGAAATTCAGTGTTGATATAGGCAAAATAATGCACATTAGAAAATATAATCCCAGCTATACATACAATATAATGGAGTCTAAATTAGCTATTACCGATCAAGAAAGATCTTGGAGTCATCACACATAGTACTCTGAAAACATCCACTCAATCAGCAGCAGCAGTCAAAAAAGCTAACAAAGTGTTAGGAAAGGGTTAAAACAGAAAATATCTTAATTTCACTATATAAATCCATGGACATCTACACCTTGAATATTGCATGCAGTTCTGGTCACCCCCTCTCAAAAAAATATTAGAATTGGAAAAAGTACAGAGAATGGCAACAAAAATTATTAGGGGGCTGGAACAGCTTCCATAAGAGGAAAGATTAAAGACTGACTGTTCATCTTAGAAAAGAGATGACTGAGGGGGGATATGAGAGGACAACAAAATCATGAACGGTATGGAGAAAGTGAATTAGAATTTTATTTACTCCTTCACATAGCACAAGAGCCAGGGGTCCCCAATGAAATTAGTATGGAGCAAGTTTAAAATAAACCTAAGGAAGTACTTCTTGTCACAACGCACAATCAACCTGTGGAACTCATTGCCAGGGGAAGTATGAAGGTCAAAAGTATAACTAGGTTCAAAAACAGAATAAGTTCATGGAGAACAGGTACATCAAAGGCTTTTAGCGATGATGGTCAGGGATGCAACCCTATAGCCTGGGTGTCCCTAAACCTCCGACTGGACCACTCAATAACTGCCCTGTTCAGTTAATTCCCTCTGAAGCATTTGGCTGTCAGAAGGTATTGGTCTAGATCAGTGATTCCAAACTTTAACAACCTATGAACCCCTTTCACTAAAATGTCAAGTCTCGCGAACCCCCTCCTAAAAATGAATATTTCCAGGGATTTTCTCCTTTACCTGAGTATAAATTATAAGAGCAGTGATCTTGGAAATATAAAATTTGTTTTTATGACATGCTTATTACACACTCTTTATTATTAATTATTTATCATTACAGTATTTTTATTACATTATGAAAACGGCAACACTCTTCCAAGATCTCACTTTCATAGCTTGTATCACTTTGAATAAGCCTGTTATAAGACAAGGCTCCTATGTTTCATCAAGGCGTATCAGATGTGAAACAGCATGAAGGTATTTAAGAAGCCAGCTCAAAGAGTTCCTCCTACACAAGCATTCAGGTCTTGAGCAGTCCAGGCAAACAACGCACGTTACAACAAAGCTTAAACTTGTTCTTCATAATAATTTTAAAAACAATACAAGCTGCCTATTTAATTTTAAAACCAGCAAAAAATATCCACCATCCTTTCCATTTCTTATAAGGAGTCTTGAAGTTTAAATCTCCTCAATGTGATAGATATGCTTGCTTTGATCTGCTTAGCTCTTGGAAGTCCAGGGGCTCCGGGCTGCTGGGACAACTCTGTCTGCCATTAGGGAATTTTTTCCTGAGAACCCCTTGCAACATTTTGCGAACCCCAGTTTGGGAACCACTGGGCTAGATGGACCATTGATCTGATCCAATATTGCCATTCTTATGTTTTTATGAAATTCAGTTCTTTCCTTAAATCAGGGAAGTGCTGGTAGCTGTTTGAGTTTCCTCACACCCCATCATAAAGACCAAGTTTTTCACCAGCATCAGACCATACAAGAGAAATGTAAGTTGCTCTGAATAGTACTAGTCATTAGTTGATTAGCACAACTATTGCATAAGCTTCTAGAGATTCCAACCATCTTACAAGAATTTGGACAGCACACTGGCTCTCATGCTTCTTCTGGTCCCCATCACTGAGTTTCAACTTCTACTAAGCCAGCGGTTCTCAAACTCAGGCTTTGACCCTCCCGCCCTGGGTGGTGGGGCTCGGGCTTTGGGCCCTCCCCCTTGGGGTCATGTAGTAATCTTTGTTGCCAGAAGGGGGTCACGGTGCAATGAATTTTGAGAACCCCTGTACTAAACTAATATGCTGGGACGTCCACACTCTCTCCACTTCTGCAAGGGAGCCAAAACCTGGCGATTTGGCTTCGGTAAGAGCAAAAGAAAAGAAAGCTAGCTCTATAGCACGCTCTCCTCCTAACCAGTCAACCCCATGGTAGGCCGTCCATGGGTGGGGGTGAAGAACCCAGACCCACTGTTTAGGAAGAGGCAGGGCTGGTCGCTCCCCACTGGATTTTCCCCCTCACCTCCAAAATCCACAGGGCAAAGCAACATGTTACTGAAAGCGATCCGCACTAACTTGTGCAACACTTCACACCTCCTCTCATCTCCCAGTTAAGTGTAGGGAACAGCAGCAGACTAGGTGAGCACCCAACTGAACAGCATCTGCAGGATTACTGCAGATCGAGGAAGCAGCTCCCCATGGAGAAAAAGGAAATGCACCGGGGAGGCACAGAGCTCTCAGACAGAGAGAAAAGCAAATCATCTGTTTAGTTCAAAATGAGAATGGAGATTTGTGACCTCCGCTTAATCAATGCCTCTATCTATTACTATTACAGGTAACACTGGTAAGATTTAAGTGACAGAGACAGGTTAGGTCAAGTCAGAGGTGCACTGCCAGAGCCATATAGGAAAGCCTGCCCATCTCCTGCCTATGCTATGACTGGCTTTTCTCGGTGCCATTACTCCTGCATGTTTCTAGTGACGACGTCAGCAGGACAATTTCAAAGCAGTACAAGGTTGGGCTACTGCAGTACGGTGAACACTAGCTAAAAGCACAGATGAAGGGCACTGCAGGCTTGCATTTTGCCGCGAGTTCCAGTTGTTGGACAAAGCTGTTAAAAAAAATTAAAGTGAACCATTTTCCAGTATCAGTCACCATCCAAAGTCAGCAGAATGCTGACAGTCCAAAAAGCAATAGTACACCCATCAAAAGTACAAACCAGGAGTTAACCTAGTTAACCTAGTTTTACCTGTAAGAAGGCAAGAAGGGACCATCTACAGATAAAGTTAACCAGACAAACCTACTATGGAGGCTTACAAAGTTTTCATAATTAATTTTCTTGGTCCACAAATACCACTTAGATCCTCTCTAATATAAACCTTTGGTACTTTTAGGAAAATCTGTAAGAACATAAGAATGGCCATACTGAGTCAGACCAAGGGTCCATCTAGCCCAGTATCCTGTCTTCCGACAGTGGCTGGAGCCAGATGTTTCAGAAAGAATGAACAGAACAGGGCAATTATTGAGTGATCCATCCCTGTTGTCCAGTCACAGCTTCTGTCAGTCAGAGGTTCAGGGATACCCAGAGCATGGGGTTGCATCCCTGACCATCTGGGCTAATAGTCACCAATGGACCTATCCTCCAAGAGGTACAAAAAAACAAAAATTGTTAAAGCAATTAAGTGGTACAGTTCAATAGGTTGAGATAAACAATTTACATCAATAAAAACAAAACTAAAGAAATATCAGAAATGTAAGGCTCAAAAGCAGGAATATTACAGCATGCAATTCACATTCAATTGAAGAAACGTCACCAACAAGACTGGTGATTCACGTAACAAATTAGCTACTAAACTGTGAAAAGCTTTAAGAACACTGAATATTTTGATTAAGTCAGTTAATCAGATTTAAACAGGTATTAACAGAATAATAAGAATTCTCCATTACCATGGGAGAGGGGAGCTGATAACTTCAGTTATTAAACTAGAGAACGTGGATTTCAGCTATTCAGTCTGGTATAGCTATCAACTTCAAGGCAGCTCTTAAAGTTTACCACCATTCACATATGAAAACAGACTCAAGGACATGCTGCAAACGGAAGAGTATGAAGCGAGGTGCTGCAAATTGCAGTAAGAAAAAGCATACACAAGTCCTGCACCAAAGACAAGATAACTTCCAGTGCTGGGAATTCACTTTGACTGAGGTTCTTGTAAACAAGGTGCTGTATGGAAAACAATAGGGCACCAGACGGAGGCCAACACGGTGCACACTGTTGCCAGATCACAGGAATATGCTCAGTGCTTGTGTTCTCCCTGCCCCCTTTCTGCTCCCCCTTGCACTTCTAAATAGCGTTCCCCTGGAACAGGTTCCAAATGAATTCCTAGAATAGAAACAGATACAAGCAACAGTATCTATAAATAGCCAAGCAAGGATTCACACATATCTGACACTCTTGAACTGGAAGAAACGCAAACTTGCATGCCAAAGCGTTGCATGCCACTGCATCAAAAAGAGTGCTTAACCCCAATTCACATTAGACATGGAAACCACTAAAAGGTGAAAGACAGCTCTATACATGAAGGTGCGGCTGTTTAAAGTTTGAACCACAGAGAGCCACCTTAATAGAGATCTACAACCTTCTCACCAGATCACATTACAGCTCCCAACACAAATCCCAATGGCTAAATTACCAACCATCAGGAATATCATCACAGCAAACTGTTGAAAACCTAGCTAGGCTACATCTAGAGAGTCTTCACATCAAGTAGGTATGCTGTTAAAATCTCATTATATCAGATTTTAGATTCTATCTCCAGAGGTTTAATGGTGACACCAAAGGTGGACAGATACCATGGACTGTGTGTGTTCCTACACTGTCTAGCACAATGGGCTTCTTCAGCAGTTCCACAATAACAGATTGCTACTTGTCACTGCACAAGACACAAAATCAGGAGAGTCCCTGACTCAAAGATCTTATAATCCAAGCCAAAGGTTCCCAAACTGTGGGGTGCAAAGGTAGGGCACGGGGCGTGGCCAGGTCACGCCAGGGCAGCAATCGGGAGAGTGCGCAGAGAGTCCGGAGAGAGAAGGGAAGCACAGCCCTACCCAGAGAGCAGCCTGCTGTTCTCCCTGCTGCTGTCCTTCCCTGGACAGGATAGCCTGCAGGCTGCAGCTCTGCATATTTTAAACCCGCCAGAGCTTGCCAGACCAAGGGGCTCCAGGCAGAAGGGAAGGCAGGCACGGGCTCTGGCCTACTCAGCACTGCACTGCCATGAGCTCCTCCAGCGATGAAACTAGCTGGGTTCTGCCACCACCCCAGACATGAGCTCCCCTACTCCCCTCAGGGAGTCACTTTCTACCCCCAATGGCCAGGAGTTGAGGGGGCTGTTATGTGACTCCCACGGAAAAGAGGGGCACAGCAAAAAAATATATATATCTGGAATCTCTGATCTAAGCAAAAGAAGATTACACCCCTAGCCCAGTTCTGGAATACTCTCCAGTCTTCCCACAACTATAATGAAAACTTTTATTCCAGGGCATAGCACAATTTTTTAAAATTCTAAAGTATCAAATAAATCATTTGCAACACACCGGGCTTTGAAAAGGTCACCTTTTCTCCATCTAGGGAAATTAACTAATAGTTTCTATGCACATATTAAAAGTGACTTGCTTTACCAACCTTGAGCTTATATTGTGCACGTGATCTTGATGAAAACTCAGATAGGATATGTGTAGTAAAGTTTATTTTTCCAACTGAGAAGTTATTAGAAGGTCAAGTTTTTGGCTGGAACTTTTTTGTCAGGAGTTCAGGTGTGAATAATCATGGAAATACAATAGAGAAGGACTAAGTCTTAGGGCAGGTCTACAACATACAGCATTTTGGATGACAGGGGTGTGAATAGGAGTGGGCACCAAAGTGCTGCGCTGTAATTTCCCCATGTGGGCACAGCAGGTGCAAACTGAAAGGTTCCTACTTTGCAGTGATGTATTCCTGTTTAAAGAGGACTAGATTCCCCATGTGAACTAGGAGCCTTTTAGTCTGTCCCTAGAGCATCCGCATGGGGGACTTACAGCGCAGCATGTTAGCGTGCACTGCTTTTCACAGCCATGCAGTCCAAAGTGCCAAGCACAGCGTAGACATGCACTTAGGAGGTGCTGCCAATGCTGCATTGTTCCTTTCTGTGCTTTTACAACTGCTTGTTTAATTTTAAACTAGTTAAAAAACTATTAGGTTTCCTCTAATTTCAATAGAACACTGTTCTACAGAGTAAAGTCAGTAAATTCCACCCCCAATATCCAGCCTAAATTTTCTCCCCCTTAATTTCAATTCATTAGTACTGGTTGTACATCCTTGAACCCTTTTAAATAATTCCTCTCTCATGCACACAACCTTCAAATATGTGTAGGCTTATCATGGATACCCCCCAGGCCTTCTATCATCTCTTCATATTTAGCTCTTTTAATCTTTCCTCTTAAAACAATTACTCCAACCACTTGATTGTTTCCTATTTCTCTGAACTCCTTCCAATTTATCAATGTCTTTCTGGTAACGAACGTGTCCAAAAATGAATACAATATTCCAAGTGTAGTTGCACCAGCGCTGTACAGGGAGGGAATATTATCTGCCTGTGGTTTTATTTGATCCCTCTGCATATACTATAAAAAAAAACTGCATTGGATTATTTGGTTGCCAACACTTGCACTGCAAATTCATATCTGAATGGATTTCCCTTGGCATTACTGTTTACCAGGCTTCCCCCCTTTCACTGAATCCACTTACTTGAATCTGGATTGCTTTCCCCCAGGTGGAACAGCTGCATTTTTTCTAAGCTGAAACTCTTTTCTTTCCACATTTCTCATCTGAAGCTTTCTATTTTTTTTTGTTTTCACTATCATTTGCAACTCCTCAAAATTTAGTACCATCTGCAAATTTCATTTACATGTGGTTTATGATTCTAGAACATTAATAAGGAGAGACACTGATCCCCACCATATTCCACTAGACCGAAGCTGCCATCCTAAGATATAAATTATTAATTTCTACAACCCCATAAATAAAGTAAGCAAGCCGCGGGAGGCTCTGGAATCCCCATCAGAGGTTTTAAAGAACAGGTTGGATTAACACCTGTCAGGGATGATCTAGGTTTACTTGGTCCTGTCACAGCACAGAGGGCTGGTCTTGATGACTTCTCAAGGTCCCTTCCAGTCCTACATTTCTATGATTCGGTCTACAACACACTGCACCAAAGTTGGTCTAGGAGAGTGAGGTGCCTGCCCAATGTGGCATACAAACTAAAAGCAGGTATAATCTAGATCAGTTGATTCATATATGTTCAAATTTCCCCACCTCTTTTTTTTTTTTAAGAATACAATATCTGTTTTATGGGGTCTGCCTTACTTCCTAATTCAAGTTTTTTTATCTTTCTTCTTAAAGAAAAATGTTAAAAGGAGTTAAGTATCTCAGTCAAATTTTATTCCCCATCTCATTTATTAATGGACCTACTTTAATATTTCTTTTCCTCCTGATGTTTGTAAAAGCCCTTCTTATTCCTCCTTTTGGCCAGCATTAACTGGTTCTGCTTTTTTTCCTGCCTTTATCTTTCCTGTGTGAATCTTATCTGACTTGAGCATTTGGCTGCCACCCCTGTTCTCCATTTCCAGTACAAGGTTTTAACCTCCTCCCCTCAGCTCTTTGAGCCAGTCTTTGATAAAATTCCACATTGGCTGCTTCATGGTTTTTGCAATCTTCTTTCTCAGAGGGAATGTAGACTGTTGTACCTTAATTAGCATATTTTAAGATTCCCAACATTTCCTTCACATTGATGGGCTTTAATAGTCCCTCTTATGACAACTTATTCACTAAGTTCCTCAAAACTTGTTTTCTGGAAATCTAATATACCTAGACTATTGCATTTTGTGAACCCTTTCTTTATTATGCTGAATTAAAGTGGCTTCTGATTTAAGGTTCCATGCTCCATGTTTTAAACTTTTGTCATCCACCTGGCGAAAGTTATAATCCACGTTCCCTATGCTAATGGTGCTTGTAATTTTCATGAGTACTCATGAAATGTAATCCTCAGAGAGCTACTTATGAGGCTTCTCAGAAATTGCACTTTACAAGCACTATCAACTGAGTTTGTAATCACCCCGAGAACCAGAGAAAAAAAATACTGCATTTGTGGAATTTACATATGCTGCTAGATTTGCATGGAACAAGCAACTTCCAAGGAGCTTCAAATGTGGTCGTGCTTTGATGGTTACAAGCATCAGTTGCAGAACTTGCATGAGATCTCAAACACTGAGTAAACCTTAGAAAAATCAAACCTGCAGTGAAATTGTGGTAAACAATTTCAAACAAAAAACCCCACAAGTTACAGTTCCAGCTCTGGTTTGTGACCATTACTGGAATACAGGCCTAACTGAAGAGTTTTTTTATTTTCATGTGGCACCCATGTTATGTGACAAAAATAATCAAGTTATAAGCACCGTTAAAAGCATTTCAATTTATCAGTTACACACACAATCTAAATAAATTCCCTGACCAAAACTGCACCCCCAACTCCAAAATTCAATTTCATTAAGATTATGGAGTAAGATGCCCCTTGCGTCTCTTTAAAGCACTGCTCAGACAGAATTGTTAAATTAAATCTGATACATTATTTATTTAGCTAAAATACATTAATACTTTGTTTTAAACAGAAATTTCAAAGTCAGAGAAATCACAATTAAGATTCAAAAACTAACCGTAACTCTGCCCTTGTATCACTGCCCACTCTCCATCTACAGTGGTAGTCTCCAACACGAGCTACAGACCCACACAACCCTCTCCCCACCAGCACACTCTACAAGCTGGCCAACCAACTGCTTGCTACCCACCCTTTATACACAAGTCAGAAAATACCAATTTACTGGTATTAGACTCCCCTCCTGTATTTTGGACACCCTCCTAATATAGGCTGAAGACATCACTGTGTCCCTTCATCCTCCCTGTATGGATCAGGAAACCCCTTCTTCCAGATACATGGCAGGGCACCCTATACGGTCTGGATGTAATCCTGCACACCCCACAAATGCAAGCCAAATATTTCCATGTGCTTAATGTACAATAGAGAAGAAGCTACAGGTTACACGGTCACTGAATAAAATTCTGATAACTGATTTCGGGGATGGGGATCTTTAATTTATAAGTGAGGAGACAGGGTCGGGCAAACGTAAGACCAGTGCGGGAACAGAAACAGGCCTTTCTTTTCTTTTTAAACACAATATATTCTCTACTAGAAC